TGAGCAAGGTGTTTCCCAAGTGAGCTTATCCTCTTCTTCTGACAGCAGGCGTCCTCGAGCTTTATCGTCTCGAATTCTAACCAAAAGGAATTGCACCGCCATCGTCTCCGAATTTCGTTGCGGGAATTTCATCGTAACGGCAGTCAGGAAGGGACTGTTGTATACGACTGATGAATTCATTAACACTCCTCTTTTCCCTGTTGTAAATGCGAAAAGCTTAGGCGCGCAGTAAAAACGTTGCCGCAGCACCCGAAGGCCATCCAGGGCGTCAAAGCAGTCCGTCAGGGATATGCTTTCGTACAAACAACGCTTCAAAATACCGTTGACTTGCACATAGGTGTTGTCTCAGTAGTTTAATAGATTGGGTTTCACTAAGTTTGATGTGGGAGTGTGTACTTGTGAAAATTTCAATTTCACAGAAGGTTCGTTTCCAACGATTACAAACTACTAAGGATTGCTTGGACGACGTGTCCTTCTAAAAGGGACCAGGCGGGGTAACATGGCTCATAATAATTCATTCTAAGTCTAACCTTCGTCGCCAAAATGTCGCAGTATAGCAATTGCGGAACTAACGCACAGTGGTTGACTCTTAACCGAATTATCACAAAGCGCGACACGCTAGGCACATGGAAGGCAAAACTATATTCTAACCGGCATGTACAACACCTTAAACTACTATTCTGAATTAGGCCAATCGATAAATGGGTGAGCACGTTACTGACGCACGCCAGCGGATGCAGGCAACGAATAGAAAGGGCTCAGGACATTGGCCGTGAGGATGCCACATGGACCTAGACATTTCAGTCGTTGGATCAGATTGCTGTAGCCTTGTCGACCCTTATGTTCACCTCGTCTGCCCAGTTTACGATTGTAGTATACAGGAGTCATGGAATTATTGACTTTATTCACACTCAGTCTGCGAACAGGTGTCTAGGGGATTTCAACCTCTCTGAAGTCTGTTGAGCTGATTTTTCTTACAGGAACATTCGGTGCAGACTTTCTTGGGCTAACCCTCAAAGTGCCGTTGCACCAGTTCGTAGACTTCCCTATTAGGTATATGGACATCTTAGTACCACCTAGTTTAGATGTAGTTTTCACCAAGTTCCTCGACTTCGTAACTGAGGTTTCGTACGGTACTCATCTTAGGCACAGCGATCACGCATGCATGTCCTTTCGGTGTGCTCTTTCAAGACACCAACAGATTGCCGTTGAATTACTTCCGAATATTTGACTGACGGACTATAGTGTAATACGAACTACGACTTCAGTTCTGAACTGTCCCTTCTCGATGGCCGACTCTGTTCAGTTAGCCTGAGATAACTATAAAGCATATCATACGGAGGTTTCTGCTCTCGTAGCCTCAAGGTAACTAGCTTGCCTTGCAATCTGACGACACGGGTTCGAGCCTGCGTAGAGCCAGGGCAACCTTCGTAGCATACGTAACCCACATGCAACTGGTGGTGGTTGCGCGGCATCGGAGTGTCGGTACTGCGTATCTGTGTCCCGCTGATGCTTTTTTTACTCCCTACATTCCACTCATGTGGAAATGATAGCTACGGACAATGTCTCCAGGGATAGATTCCACGGGCAACTACCTAATCAAGAGACTGTCTAGATGCTTGCTAGCCTACCAAGCAAGTCCATCAGCCAATACCTACGACATTTATTGAGATGTTAGAAACCAAGGTATCCAACATCTCAGGACTGCTTGTCTCCAATACGAGAAGGGTTTAGCTGACTTGACTACCGCTAATCCCAAGATTTTTGCTTACCTAAAGAGGCGCTGCGGTGCAAATCTGTCTATACTAGCGTTCCTGCTAGCAGACAAGACCCGTGCGCACACTGACTATGATAATGGTTGTATATTTAGCGAACATTTTACCGGTGTTTTTGCTCGTGAGACTCTTTTACCACGGGTTGAATTGATTTCAAGAGTTCCAGAATATACTTGCTTAGCTTAGTTTAACATAACGGAGATTCAGGTCTTCAAGCTTCCGGCCGTGATTCAATTCATTCGAAGCTGTTGCATGAATTGGCGCTGAACTGAGTGGTCCTCTCACATGCGTGTTTTCACTATCGTTTGACAGCTACGTCTTACCTTCGGAATTGAAGGAGGCAATCATCTGTCTGATTTCTAAGAGCATTGACAACAATCTGCCCATAAACTACCGACCTGTCGGTTCGACAAACCTTGTGGTCAAATAGTTTGAAAAGCTGCTGAGGGATTCGGTTGAGAACCACCTGAACAAATTCAACCTCTGTGCCGCGTTGCACGGATTCTGAAAGGGATTTTTCTTATCAGACTAATTTACTAGTGGATTGTGAAAACCGGGCCGATGCTGTAAACATTAGCCACGCTATAGACATGCTGTTCTTAGACTTTTCAAAAGCTTTTGACGCTTTTCATCATCCTAGATTCCCACTAAAGTGGAGGTACTACGGGATATCTTGTCGCGCTCTTAAATGGTTGTCTGCTTCCCTGGATGTGTGACAGTGTGTGTTCGTGTGGTGTAGTCTTTCGCTTAGGCAAGCTATCCTTAATGGCGTTCCGCATTACTCAGTATTGGGGCCATTCTTATTCGCGATTTATGTAAATGGCTTGTTGGTTGAGTTAGGAGTGTCGTCTCTAATATTTGCTGACGACCTTAAACTCTGGAGTATCGTGGATATCCGGGGGGGGGGGTTCTGAGGTAATTCAGAAAGCCTTGGGTAAACTGTGGGAATGATCTGCCTTATAGCTGATGCCCATAAATCGGGCCAAGCGTTCTGTTCTCCGCTTAGGAGCGGCCAGTCCTCACACACGATATATTGTCGGCTGTAGTGAAGCCGCTCTTGTCTTAGCAGGTTGATTTAAGCGTCGTCCACTCTTCAGCTCTTCACACTGGCGTCGGTTCGAAGAACACTGCTTGTAGAGGGTTCCGTATGATGTGGTTTATCCGCCACTCTTTCGGCGTCTTAACGGCTCATATGTTTGTGCAGTTTTTCTCGGCATTCGTGTGACCCCACTTGGATAATTGTATCCAGGCTTGTCCACCATGTCTTATCCGAGCCAAAATGGATTTGGGGAGGGTTGCAGGAGTGGGTACTAGGTTAGTGCAGGGTTTACAGGGACACGTAACCCGAACGCTTGCTTAGTTTGGGGATGTATTTAATGCACTACCTTAAGATTAGGGGGCTTGATTCTCACTTACCGTATTTTGACGGATAAGATAGGCCAAGAATTGTCTTGGTTATTTAGTCTATCTAAGCTACTTAATCTCCGCGATCACCCATTGAAACTGCACAAATCGTTGTCTGAACGGCTTAGGGCGGAAACTCCTTTTTCGCGCCGAGTTATAGAGCGCTGAAACTAGCTTCCAGATCACGGGCCAACTCTTTCATTTAGCTCGACCTTTTATTAGGTGGTTGTCATAATACCATCCAACAGCCCCAGTGTTTACTTTGCTTTCCAGTCCCACCGCTTTCTACGGACGGACTCGGAGAAATTCTGTGTCCCGCGTCTATACACGCATGTGACGTGCACCTCTCTCGTTCTGAGTTTGATCCTGACCTACTGGGTCTTATCTGCTCCTACTAGGAGCATTACACGTTACACTTTGAAGCGCTCTGCTGCCGCCGCTTGTTATGGATGTCCATGGTATTGTTGCACTTGACGAGCAGTCGAATCTTTCAAAATGGATTTACGATGCCAGTCAACATCCTTTTACTGATTTAACTATGTACCCACATCAGGTCGGTGGTCATGGAACTCATGGGAAAGAAAGCGGTGGTAAGTTGTCACCCTTCTAGCAACTGCCTATTTTGAGCCGTTCACTTCATAGCGATTGCATCTTGTTGCACTTTTGTATTCTTTGTTCTATCTATACTCCCAGGTACGTTGTTGGTTTCTTCGTCTTTTTTGTTGTTGACAGGTTTCATATTTTTAAACAGGCTATTTAGCCGCTAACTCAATTTCTTGATAGCCTTTTTCACTGTTCTAATATAGCCCCCTAATTTTGTGTGACCGAGCTTTCCTACTGAATTGCAAAGTTAACCACTGTATCGTTTCTGAAGATATCACTTCTTTCGTATATCTTCTAGGCTGGTTCCAAAGGACCTCTCAGACATCAAACATATCCATTTTTGAGCCTTACTGGTTCACCAGGTTTTCTTGTCAGCACACAGGCTCCGCTTTAGCTCATGCCTAGTAGTCCGTCTGGTCACATTGTGCTCAGAGTCACCCGGCTGTCCAGTGACTTGTGTCGTGACGCTTGGTGGTGCCGTGAGCAGAGACTTCCACGTCGTGCATGACGACCAAGATCCTGTCCTACTAAATTTCAGTATCGTTAAGACGAGGGAGTGAGATTTCGGTACGCAGAACATCCTGGTAGGCTTGTAACTACCGAGAGATTTCCCCGTGAGATGTGTAAAACAATACCCATCATATTTTCATCTTGTACCCAGAGACATTAGTCATTTTGCTTATCTTATGTTAACCCCTTTTGTTTCTGAGACTGGGACTGTATTTAAGAGCAAGTAGAAAGATTTCTCTACAACTCTATCGAATTATGCAAAATCAAAAACATAATTGCGAATCGTCAGCGGTAATATTTGGTCAATTACTCGTTTATTCTTGTTCGGTTAAACCTTCGTATCTTTGTCATTATTTCCGGGTATAGGATGTATTATTTTATCTTGTATGTGCTCCGTTTCACAAAACACAGGTTTCCGAAATAATCGTCGATACTTGTTTTTAAACACTTCACAGAACCGGCCTCTATTAGTCCTTCTGGTAGTGTATTCCATAAGTTTATTATTCTTCGTTCTATATAAAGCTGATGTAATACCTTGTTAATGGAGGGGACCCGGAGTTTGTAACAGTGTCCTCGGGTGTTACAGGGTTCCCGCAAGTGAAATATTGGCCGCAGTACTGGGAAGTGATTTAAGTGTAGTATTCCATGGGTCACAATAAGCTCAATTCTTACTCGGCGATAGGATAGTGTGTAGAGTCCGAGCTTTTTACCATTTTCAGACGGAAGCTTTCGTAGACTGAGTATCATTTTAGTTGCGATGTGCTGTATTTTCTCCAGCTTTTCAGTTTTCCACTGGGTTGTCGGATGGTAAGCTGATGCGCCGTATCCAAGGATTGGTCTAATGAGCGAAGTGAATAGGCTAGAAACAGTTTCTTCGGACCATGTGGAGAAATTGCGTCGTAATGCCCAGAGCAGATGAAGTCTCGCGCGGTACAACTTTTCTGTATTTTCTAGTGATCTCATATCATGTCGCGAAAGCACTCCTAAACCTTTGACATATGTGTTATGGTGGAGCAAGTGGCCGTCCAAAGTGTATGCTCGAGTGGCTGGATGTCTGATACTGATGAACTCCGACTTACTTACGTTAAGAGGGAGTTGCATTTCAGTGGACCACGTTGACAGTCGATCTAAGTCATCCTGGAGGTGAGCGCATTTGTCCTGGTTCTCAGTGATTATCCAGATTTTCAAATCATCTGCAAACAGAGCGCGTGATGACGGGCTGCTGCGGGAGATCGTTGATATGAATAAGAAATAATACTGGCCCAAGTACAGTTCCCTGAGACATGCCACTGGTCGATAGGAACCAGTCTGTCAGGTAGTCATTGACCTGTACTCTTAACTTTCGTCCCACAATAAACTCGTGTAACTACTGAAGTAACGTGCCACCGATTCCGTAAGTCCTCAGTTTACGAATAAGTATATCGTGGTTCAGTCTGTCAAACACCTTACTAAAGTCGATGTACACCACGTTAACATCCTTCCGTTTGTTGAGAGCTCGTACCCACTGGTGGTTTGCGTGCATCAAGTTGGTGATGGAGGATTGCCCTTTTGTAAAGCCGCGTTGTGCTGGCATCAGTACGTCCATCAATTCAAAGAACAACAGCAGACCATTTTAAACAAACTTCTCGAGAACTTTGGATAAGATCGAAGTCAAACAGATCGGTCTATAGTTCCCTATTTTACTCGGATCACCACACTTGGGAAACGATCTCACTATCGAGCCTTTCCAGCCGTCTGGTACAGATCCTTTAGAGAGTGATTTAGTGAATGAATTTGTCGTGGCTGGTGAAGTCCGTCTGGTCCGAGGGGTTTTGCACCATCGAGGTTGACGAGTAGCTGAAACACTTCGACTGCATCACATCGTTGGCTTTTGAGCAAGACTGGCGCATCCTGCATCGGTACTGGAACAGTCGCCGGTTTACTGGAAAATGCGGCGAGGAAGTGCGTGGCAAAGGTGTCTGTGCGCTTAGCGCTTGAAATGAGCGTCTGTCCGCCCAAGCTCTCTAAAACCGGTAGGTCGCCCCCAGGTTTCAGTCGACGTTTCAGTAGGCAAATATTCTCTTTGGAGCGGTTTTGGCCGAGGATGCTAGCTCCTCTTCTAACCGCCGGCGTTTCTCGATTTTTGTGACGTTACATAAGTGACGCTACTTCTTGTACACCGTGTAATCACAACCCGAGCAGATATATCTAACCCAAACTTTGCGACGCCAATGCGCTAACTGTCTCTATTCCGTAATAAACCAATGCCGTTTGACAGGTCGGACTTTTACATACTTCAGGGGAACGAACCGAGTACACAGCGAGTTAAGCTTCCATTTCATTAATGACCAACAGGCCTCAAGCGACACATCCTGTGGTAGTGTCCAGTCAGTCTCACTTGCGGCTTGGACGAGCCCGTTGAAGTCTGTCTTCCAATAGTTGAATGTCGGCTTCCCTTGGTTGTAATACGGTAACGGCAGTTCTATGCTAGCCACGATGGAGCAGTGGTCACTGTTCGCCAGAGGTTCGAGGACTCTGATCTCTTTCAGCTTCTGCTCGCAGCTCGTAAACATTAGGTCCAGGCAAGATGCCGAGTGCAGATTTACGCGCGTCGGTTGGATGACATGTTGCATTTCCCCGATTTCAATAGTCATTTTAACGAATTGAGCCTCAACGTCGCCATGACCGGGAAGTAGCCGAACGTCTGGCCAGAATATCTTGGATAAATTTAGATCCCCCCATCATTCTGTATATGTGGTAACCAATCGCAACGTCGGTTTAATGGGTTACGGTAGATAACATCCACTATCAGTTCTGCGTGGCTGAGGCGTATTGTATCCCACAATTGCTCGCATAAGTTATCCTCGCTCCGATAGGTGCCAGATGGTGACGATTTTATGTACAACAGAACACTACCGTGAGCCTTTGATTTTCGGTCGAATTGAAAACAAGTGTATCCTGACAACACGACTTCTTGGGATATGCCGTCGGAGTTCAGTCAAGTCTCTGCAAGTCCTAAAACGAGACAGCGAAGTGGCACAGTTCGTCACGTTTGTTCATTGGGCTGCACACATTGGCGAATGCCACACGGAAGTCCTGGGAGGTACCTTTGGACGTGGCTGGAGATTGAGCAACCGGCTGATACAGGTTCGTACACCCTTCTTGATCGCGCGAAAATTTACAATTTGTAAGTCCGATGTTCACATACAGACTCTGAGAAATTCACGGATCGATCAGTGAAGCGGCATTTCGTAGGTTCCGAGTCTGTCTTCAATCGGTGGGGAACATTGAACCTAAGGCTCGGCCGGGGTCGAAGACGCTGGTGGTGGTGCAGATTACGGAGTGACAAGGTGAGGTGACAGGTACTTTCACCTGGGCGTTTGACCCCACGTGGTGTACGGTTTGCTTCTACCTGAAAGTGAGGTTTTCCCGTAGTTTATGGCGGTCGCTGTGTATTCTGATCTTTTGCACCGCGAGATTTAACACACATAACTTGGAAAAACGGATGTCGGATATCGATGGTTTCGAAAATAGGTCAACGGATAAGCCATTGCACGGAATTTGGTATAGAACATCGCAACACGAACCACCACCAGCTTGGGACGGCCTCACAAGGTAGAGCGAATCCAAGTTGGCGGACACAGATGGCAGTTGGGCCAATCAATGAGATCTCCGGAAGTAGCCAAAGAATGTTCACCAAATTTGCATTGATTGGAAAATACACAAACAGAAGAATATTGATGCACAATTCACACAGGGAAATCACTTATAACCCAGTAACCCGAAGCAAAAGTAGTATCCAGCCCACGGTGATTCAGAAATTCGCGGCAACCCTGGGTACAGCTTCCTCTATACACACATCCACAACGCGATCCGAATGCTCCCTTGCAAGCTTCCGGAACCTGCTTTGTTTCTTCTGACTGACTTTTCCTTGGGTGCCGGTTAGCCGAGCGAGTTTGTATGTTTCGGCAATAAGCGCATATCACATATTTCTATTTGTTTTTTTTACTTTTCATACGATTGGTTGGTTTTTCGAATATAACGCCTCTATTAGTCGCGCCATAGGCTTACCTGATCGAGGACTGAGATAAATTCGTAGTTACTTGGAAACGCAATTGTTAATTTTCATTATAAACCTCATGGAAAAACGACGGTACCAAAGCATATATATATATACATATATATATATATATATATATATATATATATATATATATATTGCATTCGTGATGCTTCCTCACCGCAGTTTGGCTAAACTAACTTACACTTTAAATAGGTGTTTCTTAAGCTGGATAAATTTCATTCCAGTGTTATTGGTTAGTTCTGCCTACCTAAATAATCTTCTATTAACTTGCGCACGTTGATTACGCTAATTGCGCTTTTTTTCGTTAACTTTATTGCTTTCGTAGCATATTTAAGCAACTTCTGGACATTTTGTACTTATCGCAGATGCATTACTAACCAACTTACTTCATTTGCTAATTTAGCGAAGAGTTAT